CTACAGATTTCCAACCAACGGCGCAATGGAAGCGAGCCATCGAACCGGACCAAATATGCCAGCGGCGAACTGCCCTCTGTTTCGTGTTAAAAATTAACCGAATCACCGTGAACGTATTCATATTTCTCGTTGACCCTCCCTCCCTCTCTCTCGAACACGCGCACACCTTTCTCTTTGTCCCATTGGCGCTGTCTCGCTCGAAAGCGTTCGATTTTTTTCTCTCTCGCTGCCATTATTGCGCGGAACGAAAGCCGGCGCGGAATTTTATTGCGTTGGAGCGGGAAGGGGCGGCGTTGGTTCGCACGTACGTCCCTGGACACGTAGGTACGGAGCCAGGACCATTGTGTCCGCTCTGGCTTTTTCGCGCGCGCGAGATACCACCCTCTGGGCACGGGGGTTATTTCGACCCGACCGGATGGAAGACAAAAATGTAAGCGAGAACAAGCTCACCACTCTTCTCTCGCCCGTCATCGGTTTTTGGGGACAGGAAATCGTGTGTTACCGTGCCACGTGTCGACCGTCGATCCTTTTCCTCTTTTTCTTTTGCACCGCGCACCGTTTCGTTCTTTTTCCTTTTTTTCTTCTTTCTCTTCCATCTCTTCTTTTTTCGCCGATCGAGATGTATAAAAAGCGTGCAAACGGGATATAAATTCGTTCGAAATCGAATCTCAAAGACAATCGTTGACGAAAGTGTATATTTGATTTTGTTTTAAACGAGTTTTTTTACGAGTTAACGAGTTAACTCTTGTTAACTCTTGAATTATTTTTTCCTTTTTTTTTCCTGTTCCTTGTTTCAACGAATTTGAGTAATTATTAACGCTCGGAAGAAGAGTTTCTCGCTAATCTCGTTTTAAATTTTTCTACCTTTTCTTTTAACTACTGAAAGTTTAAAGTTTCAACTTTAAGCCTCTGAATTATACATTACAAGTTTCTATCCTTGTTATAGGATTTGTTATTGGATTTGCTTCACGGTTCAGTTATTTACCGAGCTTCGAAACACGAGCTACTGATAAACGTAAATTAAGTTAATCCATTAATACTTATTTGCTCGGCTTATCGTCAAAATATTAACAATTAGTTTGTCAATAAAAAATATCAAACGTATTTAACATAAAAACAGAGATCATATCCAAACGATTTGATTAAATCTCGTTCGAAAATATCGTTTCGCTCGACGGCGATAAATTTTTCCGCGAATTAATTTCACAACAATACGGATCGGCGTATATACACTAAACTCGACGCGCGTATATAAACGTATATAAACATTTAACCGAGGCGCGAGTTAGTCGACGTAGATTCGTGTAACACGGCACACCGTCTTTACACAGGAGAGGAGAGCGCGTCGAAGAAAATATAATTCGTGCGTGTCGCGTACGAGTGTAACACACTATATCGTGGGCGCGATGGAAACGATCCGACAAGTGCTTTTATCGCGAAACACTAGTTCCCGGTGATGGAATAATTAAGACGGCCGCAATCAATGTAAAAAATGAATGGCCATTAAAGCGTTCCGAGCGGGCGTCACCGATATACGCGGGTATATATATATATATATATATCGCGTTAAAGCGTAATTTCATTGAAAATCACGCCCGTACATAATAGCGTTAATTTAAAAGGGAATTAATTCGGTGCGCGCGTCACGTTAATTTAAAAGCATTCGGCCGAAACGATTTGTTTGGCACGCCAAAACTGGCCAAATTGGACCCTGGTCCCTTTGAAAACCCTGCCGATTTTTCCTATCCGGGCGACATGTTTACGAGTCGATCACATCCGTGTCGAAGTCTCATTAACGTTATACGAATATCGGCGTTCCGTCCAGAGAAATCCTCTTTTAATTAACCCGATACTTTCCCCTCTCGATTGGCCTCAATTAAATTACAGCTTGAGCGAAAACGCAAACCGATATTCGTTTCAAGATCGATAAATATCTTTCGATACGAACGAAAGCGTAAACATCGAAATGGCGATCGCAACCTCCTCGATTCCATATTTTTTATTCGATATTCAACTTTGTGCCTCATCGTACCGACGCGAGGAGAAAAAGAGAAACCGCCTCTGACGATTTTCTTAACGAGTTTCAGATCGACGTCGTCTCGATTTCCCGCCGATCGAGGATCCACCGATAAAGGAGAGCAAACGGAAAGAGAAAGAGAGAGAGAGCGGCGAAAGTTGCAGTTTCCACGACAAATACTTACAATATCGGGCATATTTGGCCGTATAATTTTAATCCTCTTAACGGGGTCGCTCGCGTAACAGCTAATTACATTCGAGCAAGAGTGGAACGGGACCTGTGGGACATCAAACGTGGCCACGGTAATCCAGACGTTTTAATTAGACGCCGCCGGCCAATCTTATCCGCATGATTTCGCGCGAAACCCGACCGTTTTCTTTCTCGTTAGAGGCGTTACGATAACAAGAAGCGACCGCTTAAAATTCTACCGGGCTAAACCAACCAATTCCCAATGATAATATTGCCGAGGAACCCTTAGCCGCCGCGTGGTAGATTTCCAAGCCGTAAGCCGATCTTAGAGACGATTCAATTAGAGCCGATCCCTGGGATAGAACGTGCGTGAGGGAACGAGTTACACGCGAGGATCGTAGATTCGATTCTAATCTGCGTTATGCACGCTTGTACGTGCGTGTCGGTGGCGCGTAGGGGAAAGGAAGGAAAGAGAGACAGCCGAGACGTTTCTCCCTCTCTCTCTCTCTCTTTCCACGCAGCCGATCAATCGACGCAGTTTTATCCCTTTCGAATCGGCATTGCCACCCGATCAGACCGGATTACCCTCGTAAAACAACAATTATATGGAGGGAGCTTTTAAAACGCGCTATCTCATTTCAGCTGTTAAGTTCAGCTGCGGGTTCAACGCGGAGCTTTGCCCTCGCCGGCTGGCTACCTATTTCAATTTCTGTGATTAAATCGGCTTCGATCGAAACGAATAGTCTTGAAAGAACGGAGATTCTCGTTAACTTGTCTTGCTTTCTTGCGCGGTTAACGATGGTTTCAGATGGATGGATTGTTTAAAATTATTCGTTTGTATGGATATTTTTAAGGCACAGGGGCTCTCTGTAAAACTTATTGCTACGCTCTTGAATTTTACCCGAAATATAAAGAGGAGTAGATTTGAGTAGATGCTTTGTGAATTTAAAACAGGTCGCGCACACAAGTGATGCAGCGACTGCTTGTAACACTGCTCGGAACGAGAAAGAGAAATTGACGTTGCCAGACGTCTTGGGAGAACTTTGTTATTTTCGAGCGTATAATAAAATAATAGGAGGAAGAGCTAGCTTCGGCCCGGAGATGGAACGCGATGGAATATCGTCGATAATATACGAAAATTGAAATTTTTTACTCGCGAGCGAGCAAGCGAAGCGATAAAAAAAAAAAGAAAAGAAAGAAGAAAAAAAGGTTGTTGCATCGATCAAGAGGGAAACGGCGAAATTTAAATGAGAATCGAATAACCGCAAACAAATTGTTCGTTTCATTTTCCGAACTAATACGGATCGATTGTGAGGCGAGGCGAGTACAAAAGTCCGATAAAATTCGCGAATAGTTTTTCTCCACGCGTGGCGTGGAATTAATTATAAAGCGCGATACGGGGATTTTATAATGCGAATGCCGCGTATACATCCAATGCGAAAGTTAGTTGGTCGGGGGAAAAAGCCCGAGGCTATCGAATCCAGCGTGCAGTTACCTTTTCATTAGCGAAACGAATGAGATTCGACGAAACTTTCCTTATTTCGCGTTAGCGCGCTTGCTTCTCGCGTTAAATCGTCGAATTTCGACGAATTACCGAACGCGTCTCTCCTCCTCTCGACGATTAAATTAATCAGGAGAGTAACAGATATCTCGATTAATCGCGAGAAAAATTTGGAGAAAAAAAATCCGTCGCGTTTCACCGATCATCGAGTCGAATTCGAATGATTCGCGGCGTGACTCGCGTCCTCCGCAAACAAAGGGGAGAAAACGCAGGGGCATCGAGATCGATAAACAAAGAGGAAATGGAGAAGCAAAAGCTGGATCGGTGAACGCGGTTTCGGGGATGAATGAAATTTTACAATTTAAACCGGTCGGCGAAAGACTCGCGCGATTTTGGCAAGCTTCCATCTCCGGGTCCGAGACAACAAATCCGCTAGTCTGAATTTAACAGACGGGGATGGAAGTGGGGGAGGAATTAAGTGCCGTGTAATTCCATCCACCCTTATTTTTCCACGAAATGACTGACGGCGGTGTATAAACCTCGCCATCGTAGATTAAATAAATGCGGGGAAAAAAATATCGCCTCGGCCGGCCACCACCCCCTCCAGTTTCCAAACTTCTTGGCAACACGTGCCCGTTTTAATTTTTCGGGAAAACTGACCACCGTCCTTCGTCGTCGGTGCGAGACGTTCCGTGGCTATAACTCACGTTCCTCGGCGAAAACTCGAGCAGATTATTTCTCTTTTCGCCCAAATATCGCGGAGAATAGAGGACCGTCCACGTGCATTGCGTATAATCGAGGAAATTTTAGAAATTGCTACAAAATTTTATTCCTCGATCCGATAGTTTTTGATACTAC